TCTCCTAAGCCAGGGCACCTTAACCATATGGCTATGCGTCTGTGCCTACGCAGTAAGTTCTCTTGGCCCTCATGCTTTGGGACAGGTGTTGAACACTAATAAGGGCAGTGCATTGTGAGGAACTCACAATGTGGGTGACTCAGTCTTTATGGTCATGCAGGTATCACAAGATGGACCAGCAACACAGAAAGGAGATGAGATGTGGTCTGCAGATGGACAGAAGGGGGTCCTGGGACACTGGCTGGATTGCATAGGGACTTTTGATACCACAGCCTCCACGTACACCTTGCAGTGCATTTGGGAAGGCATGATGGGCTCCAAGACTTTGGTGCTGCCCTGGGTGATGGCATTCAGAGGCCAATGAAGCTTGGTGACCTGCCCCTCAAGAGAAGGGCTATAAGAGCAAGCCTGGGGGACCAGCCAGTGGCCATCAGGAATGACAGGTGGTGAGGCTGGCATGCATGTGTGTATTTAGGTCTCAGGGGACAATACCATCTCTAGGTTTGGATGGGGGACACTCGCCAGGCCGGCCAAAGCCAAACACAGAGAAGTGCTGCTGCCAGGAAGACACCAAGGAGAGACGTGGCCCCTGGAGGCTCCTAAAAGAGCGAGAAGCTCTTCTGCAGAAGGGAGCTTGCCAGGGACAGAGTTCCCTGGTCCCTCCTGTCTCTCTCTCACTTGCAATGAAGGTGACCTGTGTGTCCACACCAAATGACTGGCCTAGACCAGTGGGGAGGGGGTACTTATACATCTTATGCCCCAGGCACAGAGATGTAATCAGGCCCACTTATGGCCAGCCTGCCCTGCTGACACTGCAGCTGCACTGGCCATGCCCTTATCTGGGGTCCTCCAGAAAGGCTCAGCTGTGACTCTGACTACTGCCCCTCTCATACACACACTGCAGGTTTGGGTTGCTCTAGACATCAGGCCACAGGCTGTCTGGAGAGAAGGGACAATTTGCACAGTTTCCTGTGATTTTCCATGGCACCCAGCCCTGCACCAGTTTGCTGACTAAGAGTATGTGCCTGTCCTGGGCAAGGCCACCAGGATTGGTGTCTGCATTCTCTTGTGCCCAGCCTGGAATACCTCTGTGACTGAAAAGGGAGCATTATTTGTAACCACAGATCAATACAAAAGGGGCCATGCAGTCACTATCCAGAGTAGATGGCTCAGCTGGTTATCAGCATTGAAGGCTGAGCAGGGGGTGCCCTCTTATTAGGTAAGGGGACTTCACCTGTCTACTCTCAGCTGTCACCAGCAGCTTCCTTCACTGCCTAGAGTTACAGCGTCAGACACATGACACACAAGGTTCCTGTTCTGTGACCCTCTATCAGTCTCAGGGGAACCCTATGCTCTGAAGTCCTTCCTTATGGGGAAAGTGGGGTAGCCAGAAATGTGTGGGATGATCCCCAGCCCCTGAGGGCCCTCCCATGTTTTGTGTCCCCAGGGGCCACTGCAACTCAGGACACCTCTCTGTCTGATCCATCGCATTTTGGTTTATAGGTGGAAGGTAACTCATGGCCCACTGCACCAATGTCCCTCTGGTGCTCAAGGCCTTTTCTTAAGGCTCTCATTACCCCAGGCTGCTTGCCAGCTGCTGTCTCTGCTGTGGCGAGGGTAGGCACTTCTACAAGGGTTGGTGTGGGGAGCCTCGAGGGTCGTGGCCTTCCTGGGTGCCTTTGAGGCCATGGTCTATGGCCCTTGCAGACACACACTGCTCTTTCTCAATTCCTCCATCTCTGACAGTTACCATATCTGGTGTGACCACTGGGACCTGTGAGGAGTATGGGGCCACCTGTGCCGCTTTCCTGTCTCTCCTGGCTGCCTCTTTCTCTGCCTCCTCTGGTTCAGTCAGAGCAGGTGCCCCCAAAGCTCTGTCTCGAGTCCTCTATTCTCTTCTCCCTCATCCTTTCTGGGAGACTGCACCACGTACTCCTGGAAGGATCCCATCTTTGTCCCCTCTGCCCATCTCCACACCCTCCCTCCTACCACACATGGGCACCTCTTTATCAACTTATGCCAGCCTCTTAGAGGACAGAATTCCCCAAAGGGCTGATTCTCAAAACATTCCCGGTTCCTTCAAAGCCACCCCCTCCCCAGGCCTAGGGATGTCAGGACCTCCTATTCTTTTTCCTTCCCACAAAGCCACTCCTGTTGCTGCAGCAGCCTCCACCCTCCCTCGTGCTGTGCAATGAACTCCAGACAGACTGGAATAGTCTGTTTCCTTACTTGGTCTCTGTCCTGTTTGCTCATTAACGCCAACTCCACTCAATTCAGCTCCCCCAGCATCCCTGAACCCTGTGTGTACATCCTAAGTGTACAGCTTAACTTTGCACATGCATATACCCATGCCATGTCCACGCCATGTGTAAGGGGTATCAGAGGTGTAGGGATTGGAAAAGAGCTATGAGTGCCAAAAAGGAGCAAAATCATGGGAATTTAAGGATAATTTCCTGGAAGAGGGGTCATGTGATCTGGGCCTCAAAAGCAGAAGTAGCCTTTTGCAGTACTGACATTAACAGTGAAAAGTGAGAAAAACCTAACATTCATCAGGAGATTGGATCAACGCACCATGGAACACTCTCAGAGGAACTGCTGTTAGAATGCCCAGCACTATGCAAATAAATCTCAAGGATGTAAGGTTAGGTGAAAAATGCAAACCGAAGGCTGACATACACAGAGGTGCCGCTGGTGTAAATCCGAAGGACGCACAGAGCAATGCTATATTTTGTTATGAACGCAAATGTTTGCAGTAAGAGTATACACAGATACATGGGGGTGATGAATGGCAGATTCGCCCCTGGGAGGCAAATGCAGAGAGGAAAAAGGGAGGAGGGCAGGGAGCTGCAGCTGCATTCGGTTCCGTGAAAGGAGTGAGAGGACCAGATCTGAGGCAAACATGGCAAAATGTTAACATCTGTTCAGGATCAGTGATTATAGGTTCACTGTTAGATTATTGCTTCCTCAGTTGTGCATTATTTTGTACCCAAATTTTAAAATAAGTTAAAGTAAAAAATAGAAAAGGAGGCATCTTTCTATAACAGGCCGAGCACCCCCTGCTGGGGTGGGACCCAGGTGCAGGGCAGGATGAGTGGGCCACAGCTGGGCAAGGCCCGAGCAGGGGTGTGGGGATGGAGCATGGGGAGCTGCAACTCCTGGTGGTGTGGGTGGTGTTAAAGAGAGGGATGCGAACTGCTTCACTGCTCCCCGCTCCAAGCATGCAGCTTTCAGGACGCTCCTCACTCTGCTGCCACAGCAGCCTTTGCTGGGTGATTTCCACATAGGGGATTCACTCATTCCTCACCCTGCGCTGGGTGCCAGTGTAGCTGACCCTCACCGTGTACCAGTCACTTTCACATGTGCAACTCACTGGACCTCCACTCAGCATTATTATCATCAGCACTGTTGGGGGATGAAACAGAGGCACAGAGAAGTGAAGGGTTGTTTTTCAAGATTACACAGCCAGTAAAAAAGAGGCAGAGCTGGGATTTGAACCCAGCCTGACTGGCAGCAGAGCTCCTGACCTTGCAGTCACGTACAAGGTGCTATTGTGGGGGCTACAGACTCAGGGATGACACAGCTGATGGGGCCTGGCCCTGTGGAGACTCAGGGCCAGTGAAGGAGTCAAATGCCAAACGCAGTGAGACACACAGATGTCACTACAACTGATGATCTAGTGAAGAAAGAGAACTGTGTTTTCAAGGAGAGAATAGGGAGAAGGACACAGCTGAGACTGACAGTCTAAGAAGAGGGGACATTTAGGCAGAGACCTAAGGGATGGGGAGTACGCCAAGAAGGGTGGTGGAGCAAGAGTAGGTGGGAGTGGAAAAGCAAGTGAAAAGGCCCAGAGATAGCCAAGAGCTTGACAAGGAACCAGGAGGGGGTGGGAGAGGGAATAGGCACATGCAGTGACCAGGTCCAAAGGCAGAGAGAGGTCCCAGTTCAGGCCTGCAGTGCTAATGTAAATACGCATGGGTCCCATTTTGGTGCAGACAGTAACAGATTTGAAAGCCACCTTTACTGGACCTTTGCTGTGGAGAGTTTGGATTCTGTTCCCAGGGCAGTGGGAAGGCATTGAGAGACTTAGGAGCAGAGTGGCAGATCTAATTCATAATGTATAAAGGTCACCGTGGAGGCAGTGTGGAGTGGCCTGTAGGGAGGAGGTGGGAGGCCATTGTCTCCTCCCTGACTCAGCCTCATGAGGCATCGGGGCCATGGGGAGAGTGATGTAGGGCAAATGTCCCCAGACAGCAGTCCCCTTCTCCTCCTGTGTCTCTCCAGCCCCTGGGTCTTGCTCCAGGGTTTCCAGGAGAGGCCTTAGGGGTGGGAAGAAGTCCCTGAGAACAGCTATCTGCCTCCTGGGACTGCAGGGCAACTTGTGGAGGAATCAGGAAAGGTCTGCACACAATGGACTCAGTAAAGAAGCCACAGACTAATAATCTTGATGTCCACTTAAGAATCTGCCCCTTCTTTCCCTTCCACACCCACAGACTCCTCTTCCAGCCCCTGCGGGAGGAGATTCAGAAGCAAGAATCTGGGCGCCTCTTACAGATACCGGCCTAGGCCCAATTTCCAACCGGATGTGTGCTGGGGTCACCAGGCAGCCCCTGGTGATGTGCGTGGTGCCTGGCCCGGCCTGTGGTTCAGGAATGACCACATATAGGCCCAACTGCTAGTACCTGCTTCTGCAGCGGTTATATGTAGGGAGTCACGGACGCTCCTGACTGCACTAGGAGCAGATGTGAACCTTGGTAGTCAGAGTTGGGAACATAAAACAAGGGTAGGGTTTGTAATGGCGACTCAGAAGAAGAGCTAGCAAAGTTCCTTGTAAAACGAAACCCGAGAGTAAAAAGAGCCTCTCTCTCCTTCTACCAAGTAAGAGACCAGACAAGTTGCTAAATCAACTTCCCCTGTCAGCTGAAGGGTCACCTTCATCTGCCAGGAAGGTGCTGCCACAGGCTGGAGAGGAGGGGCAGGGCCGAGCCCGTGGGGTCACTCACCGAGGGGCAGGACGAAGAAGAAGGGGAACCAGCAGAGCACGAAGACGCCCACGACGATGGCCAGCGTCTTGGCCGCCTTCTTCTCGCGGGAGAACTTAAGCAGGCGCACGGACAGTGAGCTGCGGAAGGTGTGGCCCTTGGTGCTCCTGGTCCCGCCGCGCGTCCCGTCGGTGCCGGTGGCCGCCCCGCGACAGTGGATGCGCAGCACCACCTCCGAGGCTTTGCCCCGCTCGCGTTTGACGCCGGCCTCCAGGCAGCGCGTGGTGCTGCGCGCAACCACGTACACGCGGCAGTACATGACCACGATGACCGCCATGGGAAGGTAGAAGGAGCACACGGAAGAGAACACGGCGTAGCCCGCCTCCTCCGTGATGCCACAGAAGCGCTCGTCCGGGGGCACGGGCTCCTTCCAGCCCAGCAGCGGCCCCACCGACACCACGAGGGCCACAGCCCAGAGCAGTGCCAGGATGGCGGCTGCCTTGCGCTCTGTCATGATGGACGGGTACTTGAGCGAGTGGCGCACGCCCACGTAGCGGTCCACGGAGATGGTGCACAGGCTGAGGATGGAGGCCGTGCAGCACAGCACGTCCACGGCGGCCCACACGTCGCAGAAGGCCCGGCCGAAGGCCCAGAAGCCCAGGACCTCCATGGTGGCCGAAAAGGGCAGCACGGTGGTGCTCAGCAGCAGGTCGGCCACGGCCAGGTTCACGATGAAATAGTTGGTGACCGTCTGCAGGTGGCGGTTGCAGGCCACCGAGAGGATGACAAGCAGGTTGCCTGCCACGGCCGTGAGGATGAAGGCTGCCAAAAAGACGCCCACGCCCACGCCCTGCGCGCTCACCACCAGCCCCCCGACGGCCGCCGTGCCGTTCACCTCGCCGCCCGCGCCCGCGCCCCCCGGCTCCCCAGCCGAGCTCCGGTTGTCCTCGCCGCCGCCCGCGCCCACCACGCCGCTGCTGCCGCCGCCGCCCGCGGCCCCCGGCACCCCGCCCACCGCCGGGCCCTCCGAAGCCGCCGTGCCGCCCGCGCCGCTCCCGCCGCCGCCAGCCCCGGAGCCCCCGGCGCTGCTGTCCGGGCGGGGACCCTCGAAAGTGACGCTCAGGAGGTCTTGGAAAGTCATCTCAACGCGCAGCCGTCGGGGGCCCGGCCGGGGCGCAGGACGAGCGGGGGGTGAGGAGGGGAGCCGCGAGCATAGCTGCGGGGCTCCGGGTCCAGCCCCGCGCGCAGGTCCCGTCGGCGTCCTGTCCAAGTTCCTGGGACGCGGAGCCGGCTGTGGAGCGCGGAGCTGCCAGGCCGGGCGGCTGCCGGGGACTCCGAGGCCGGTCGAGCGCCCAAGAGCCGGGCCCCGGCTGGGGCCGCGCGCCGCTCTGAGAGTGCCCGCGCGAGTGGGCAGAGCGGCGGCTCCGGGACCTGGCGGTGCCGGTAGCGGCCACTGCGGCGCTCCCAACTCGGCGCGGGGGGCGGGACGGAGGAGGGCCGGCGCAGGGAGGGAGGGGGCCCGGAGAAGGGGCCGCGCGCAGGCAGAACGGGGTGCCCGGGTCTGGAGGGGCTCGGCGCTGGTGCGCGCTCCGCCCGCGGCTGCCACCTACGCCTCGCAGCGGGCGCCCGCAACTGCCCTCTGCCCTCGCGGTGCCTTTGCGCCCTCGCCCGCCCCTCTCCTGGGCCTCCTCCCCCTTTGCCCTTAGCTGCGTTCCTCTTCCTCCCGCCCTCTCCAGCCTCGCGGTCACTCGCCGGTTGCCCTTGGGCGCACGGAGCTTAGAAGGCGCGATTCCCAGGTCCTCGGGCTCCCGCTTCGACCGCCAGAGAGCAGCAAGCGCCCGGGTTCTGCGGACTGCGGCCTGGACCGCGCAATGTCGTGGCGAGTCGCCACCAGAGAGTACCTGGGTGCACTGCTGCACCTCCTTTCTTCTCGCAGGCCGCGAACAGGGATCTGGCCTCAGGCGTCCCTGCCCAGAGTGGTGGCATGGAAAGAGCCCTGGAAGCGGTCAAAAGCCGGTGCTTGGCCCAGGCTGGGTATGACAGACCCGGGAACCAGAGGCTATGTGAGTGCAGCCCTCGGGCTCTCCCCACCACACAGTGATCGACATAGTACTAACTTTTGCACTGTTACTTTACTCCATATCAGATGTCGGAATAAATCTTCCTACTGCTACTCCAAAAATGCAGCCTTCTTCGGGGAGGGAGGGCTTAAGTGCTGGAGGGTGGGAAAGGTCACTTGGCAGAATGGCTAAAGCGGGAGGGAGGAGAAAGTCTGGCTCCGAATATCCAGGCTGCATCCTTAGTAGCTGTTTGTGCCTCAGTTCCTCGTCTGTGAAATGAGAAGTCCTGCCAAACTAACGGAGGGAGGGTTACATGGATTAACCCTTCTTAGTACCTGAGTATTTCAGCTGAGGGGGGGGGGTTTGGCAGGCAGGATCTGCACAGGGAAGGTGGGGGAGGGGTGCCACACTGCTGTGAAGCGGTGACACAGGTGGAGAAAAATGAGGACCAGCAGGACTGGCAAGGAGAGCGGTAGAGATGATTCACCGAGCCAACACAGAAGTCCTCACCAGGCTGCTGTCAGGTGCACCGAGCTGGACACTGGGTGGCAGAGGAAGGAGGACAGTGCCACCAAGTAGATGCAGCATGAGGATAACTTGAGTCATACAGGCAGTGAGGATCCATTTGGAGAGGTGTCTGGGAGGAGAGAAGAACTCATGGCTTAGGTGTCCTCTAGGTGTGGATGGCCCAGAGACAGGCAGGATGTCTGAGTGTCCCGAATGAGGGAGGTGGCTGTGAGAAAGCAGAAGACGGGAGATGTATCACCAGAAGAGTAATCTTCTCTCCTGCCTCACTAGCCCAGGAGGCCAAAGCTGTTATAATCACAGCTTAGCATGGCTCTTTCAAGGTCCTCAGGGGCCTTGAAGTCTTCAAGGATCTTTCGTGGATCTTTGGGAACCTAGTATAGCCAGTTGAAATGGGAGCACTGTGGCTTATAAGGATTAACTACAGTGTAGCCCTGGGTTTGGGCGTCCTTTCTGAAGCAAACTGGCAGAGGGCACTGAAAGCAGAGGCCAGGTGCTCCTCACTGGAGAGTGTTCGATGACAGGCCCATTGTCCACGCCTGGCTGCCCTCTCGGTGTGGTGGAGTCACCTAGATTCTGGGTGTGGTCAGTTTTTAAAGAAACCTGGGAATTGGAAAAATAATTAACCCCAAGTCTGGAGCTGGAATTCTAGGGAGCTACTTGGCTGATGTCACATAAAGACTGGTGACTGACTATGTCTAGAGAGGCAGAAGAAGACTGGCTGGAGGTATCTCTGTCAGCAGGGTGAGGAGGAGGTGTAGGATAGGGTTCCTGGAAGCAGATGGGGCAGTGTCACCCCATTTCAGGTTTCTGTAGTCCTCATGTGGTCTGCAAGAGAATTCCAGAAGTTCTCGGGGGGGGGGGGGAAGGAACATGGAATGGCAAGAGTTGTCAGTTTCTTGTGCCAGTTTATCACATGCTTAATCCTGGAGGGACCTGAAGGCAGGGAAGGTGCTAGGGGCAGATCGAGGAGGAGCTGTCTCCTCTGAAGGGAGAGCTCACAGTGCAGGGGCTGGAATAAAGCTCAGTGCCACCCCAGCTATACCAGCCACACCCATATTTTTGCTTGGATGCTTCCTGGGCACCTGAAATTAACCACGACCTAAATTAAACTCACCATTTGGACAGCCACATTCTTAACTTGGTCTACAAAAATGGCACTACTCTTGGGTCAACTGCCACAGCTAAAAACCTAAAATTCTCCTTTGGGTCATCTTCTGCCCCCTAACTAGCTGGTCTCCAACTTCATTAGTTTTTGCCTACTTGACTTTGTGAATCCATCTCTTCTCTTTGTCGTCTCTCCCTAAGGTTAGGTCCTGATCATTCCTTGTTCCAATTTTCATTTCTGACCCAATTATGCCTCTTTACAGTGTGTGGCTATATGAGTCTTCCTAAAGAGGATCATTTTACTCCTTTAAAACTAGTCTATTGATGGCTCACCAATGATTTAAGATCATAGAACTGTTGTTCCTGTGGGGCTGATCTCTTTCCTGTTTCTTCTGTTATTTTTTATTGGGGTGGTGGTGCTCAAAGTGATTAGTTTGGAGATGATGCCAGGAAGCATGAGACTAGGCTGGGTGGGACTCTGTGTTACAAGTGAATAAATATAAGACAGGAGCTTTTGTACCTGCAATGTTTGTCACATGCTATTTGTGTTTGAGGCTCTCAAGCATAATAGACACTGTCCTGAGGTATGTGCCCTCTCTAGATGGCTAGAACCTCCACACGGTCTAGGAACTCAGGCCCTCTGGTGTGTCACAAGTGCATTTCCATGAGGGGTCTGTCATTCCTGTACAATCATCTGCAGGGCTTCCTGGAAGATGAGGTTTCAGGGAGCGTTTATGCTTTTTGGGTCAAGAATTATCTTCCAAATCGGAAGAAGATGGTGGCTTGATAAGTTGCTGAGTGGAGAGCCTCTCTGGGAAAAACAGCTCAGACACTGGAATTTAACAACATGGAGAGGGCTGGATGAAGGGAGAGGGATTCTTGCACGACCAAGGAGGAAACTGAGGAAAAAAGGGAGGAGGAAGGAAAAATGCAGTTGGAGGGCTGGAGCCGGATGTGCTCACTGAGACCAGTCCTGTGCTGCGCTGGGCACGCTGTGGAGTCGGAGGATGCAAAGTCGCGCTGAAGCCCTGGCCACCGATAACTGGAGTTGGTGAGTCCGCGGCCCTTGGCGGGAGGACGCAGTGCAGTGTGGAGTGGAGCCAAGGTGGAGAGCTGCATTAATTCTCGGTGAGTGCTGGAAATTGGGTCCCGCCACGGCAGGTGTGGCCGGCTGGAAGACATCTTGCAATTGGGCAGAACAAGGCCTGAGTCCGGTGCTGCGGTGGCATCAGTTAGCTGCCCCTGGTCCAGAGAGGACTGGTGGGACCTGCTTGGGCTGGGTCACACCCCTGGTCAGGATCCAATAGCCAGGGAGGAAACTGTCCTGAACCTGTGATGTCTGCAAAGCACAGACTAAGTTGCCGAAGGCACTCGCTGGTTGACTGGCTCAGAGAAGTGGCCCTGCATGTACCTCAGATAACAGCAAACTGGAGAAGGCAGCAAAACCCCAGCCAGCACACTTCAGAAAAACCATAAGCAATACAGAGAGGGCCTGAGACCTCCACCACACACCTGTCAGAAAGAAACCAGAAACATGACAAGAGAAAGAAACAAGAAAAAGCCTCCAGGTGCTGATCCAGGGAAAGTAAGTCCAGGACAGGTAAATACAGAAGAGAATCAGAGCAGCAATCATGCGATATTGGTCACAACATCAGCAGACGTAAAGAAATACCTTTGTAACCTCATAGATGAACTTAAAACTGAATTTCTAATCCAAATGAGGCAAGATATAAAAAGATTAATAAAAGAAATGCTAAGCCCCTCTCAAGAAGACACAGATGGAACAATGGAGGAACCCAGAAAAGGAAGAGAAACCTTTGGTGAAGAATATAAACAAAATCTAGGATACATGAAACAAATCCAAAGAGATTACCAGGAAATTAAAAACTCCATTGAAAGCTGGCAAAATGCCTCGACAGAAACTAAAGTTAGCCTTTCAAAACTTGAATATAGATTTGCAATGTGTGATTGTGAAAGAAAAGAAAAAGACCTGTTAAAAATAACAAGGAACCAGGAAGTAACAGTTCAAAGGCTAGAAGATGACAAGAGAATCTGTAACTTAATAAAAAATGTGAGCAAAGAAGCAGGAGTAACCACAAATTACAAAGGCTATTCACAGAAATAATTAGGGAAAACTTCCCAAACATAGGAAAAAGAAAGAATATCCAGATAAATGAGGCATACAGAATTCCAACCAACTACAACCAAAACAGATCTACACCCAGATATATAATAATCAAGATCCCAGAAATTCACCACAAGAACAGAATATTAAAAGTGGTCAGAGAAAAGAAGCAGATCACCTACAAAGGAAAGTCCATCAAAATAATGACAGACTTATCAACACAAACTATCAAATCAAGAAGAGCCTGGGGGAAGCAGTCCAAACCCTGAGGGAAAATAACCTCCAACCCAGATTGATACACTCTGAAAAACTCTCTCTCAAAATTAATGGAG